TAATCGCCCAGCGGATGCGGCGAAGGAGGGGGCCATGTTGGGGGATCCAGGGAAACGGGGAACAAAGGGAGTGAGAAGGTGCTGAACCCCGGTACAGCCAGGGGGGCGTGTGCGGAGAAACCAGCGTTACACCAGCATCCCACTGTACGGCTCCTAGCCCCGGCTCGGAGCACATTTGCTCAGAGCCTGGCTGCCAGCCAAGACAGCTTTGCAACTACCTAGCGTGGTGCCTGCTGCTGCCTTCGGGGACACCCTCCCGCACACACCCCTGATCCACGGAATATGCTCTCCAGCCGGGCTAGATCAGGCCCACGTCCAGGCCTGGCTCACCTCCCAGCCTGCCCGATGGCACGGAGGAGGCAGGATGCATCAGCCTTGACATGGCACTTGGCATTTGGCTGAGAACCACAGCCCCTCCAGTCCTCAGAGGGGAGGGCATCCTCTGCTCTGGGCAGCCCACTGCCAGGTGTCCAATCCTTTGGGAACGGCTTTGCAATTCCAGAAGATGAACATGTCTTCCTGGCAGCTCCCCAGAGCAGGGATCTGGCCCCAGCTGAGCCAGGCTGATTCAGTCATTGCAGCCGGAGGGAAAAATGGAGATGTCCGGGGCCCGCTCCTGCCAGCGTCTGTTCATGCAACTCCTTCTCCCGGGCACCAGCAGCTCGGTCATTTCCTATCCGAGCTCCCTTCTGTTACACACCAGAGACTGGGGATCAGTTCTAGATCTCTCTCTAAGGCATGGAGTTCTCCCACCTTTCAGGATCTGAGCCAGAAAGACTCAGGGCTTGTCTACCAGGAGCAACTGGTGACTCTAACTCTGCCGGCCGAACCCTCGAAAGTGGCTTGAATCTGGAGTAAGTGCTCCACTTCAGAAGCTCATAATAATTGCTAAGCATTCTATTCGGTTCGTACGCCAGGCCCATCACCCTGGCCTCTGAGTCTGACAAGGGGCCTCCTTTATCGCACCAGAACCACAGACACAGGGAATATTTTAATCCACTTACATTTCTGCTTAGCATCCTGCCCCCCCTTTCTATATCCCAACTCGCTGTACTGGAAAACAGGCTTTTCCCTTCCCCTTCCACTCCGCGGTTCTTCCCAGCCAGGCCCCTCTCTCTACCCCACCAATAAAGGCTCTTGAAATATTTGAAAAATAAAATTTGCAAATACACTTTTTATAAAGCTGCTTTATGGGGTTTTTTTTCCAGTGTTTCAGGCAGGCTGTCCAAGGGACTGGGAGTCAGGACACCTGGGTTCTGTCCCTAGCTCTGGGAGGGGAGTGGGGCCTAGTGGTCAGAGATTCAGGGGTGGGGAGCGGCATCATCAGAGGAAAGGAACTAAGCACAACACAAGCTCTGGATCAATGCTGCCCCGCGCTGGAATTGCACGAGGGGATTTTCCTTTACGGATGCAGGGTTGGGTTGTGAAATTAAAGTCTGGCAAGAAGGCCCACACGGACACGTCGCATCCCCGAGCCGCTGCGGCTACCTGCAGCGAGCTGGGTTGTTGCCTGGAGGATGTGTGTGTGTGTGCGTGTGTGTATTAACCCTTTTGCACATCCATAACAAGGGAATGGTTGTGTGTTGTGTGTGTGTATGAACCCATTGCACCTCCACAACAGAGGAAGGTTTTGTGTGTGTATATGTCGTGTGTGTATTAACCCTTTGCACCTCCACAACAAGGGAATGGTTTTGTGTGTGTGTATTAACCGTTTGTGCCTCCACAATAAGGGAATGTGTATGTATTAACCCTTTGCACCTCCACAACAAGGGAATGGTTGTGTGTGTGTGTGTGTGTGTATTAACCCTTTGCGCCTCCAT